TGTGTGTGTGTGTGTGTGTGAGAGAGATGTTTTCAGACTGCTGATTATGTGTCTGCCCAGGGCAGAGGCGAAACCAAACACACCACATTCCAGAGAGAGAGCGAGACAGAGAGAGACATGTGACTGTATAAACTATGTTTAGATTTTAAGCATTAAACGAGTTACATTAAACATGCTGCCTGATCTGATCAGCGTGAATCATTTGAGCAGCACCAGATTTACAGCATTCTGTTCTGATGAGATTTAACGGCTCATTTCTGTCCCTGTGAGTAAGAACACATTACAGGTGCGGCGCTCCTGTCAGACGTACAGCATTAAAGAGGTTAATTAGCTTAATTAGCTTAGTTAATGTGCTTAATCACTGACGTCAAGCAGCACGCCAACAACAACAACAACCAAATTTATCAAGGATAATCAAAAGGAATAGTTCATCCAAAACCCAGAATGTGTAATCATTTACAAACCATTATGTCACTGCAAACTCATTTGACATCCATCTTCATGTCAGTAAATGACAGAATTGTAATTTTTGAGTGAATTATTCCTTTGATGTCCATTATGAAAGCCAAACAATATGTCAATATGTTTGTGTTGTGGTTTTAAAAACCTTAAGCCCATTTGAATCTGATAAAGATGTTCATAAAATAAAAAGGTAATTTGTTTGGAAACAATATTTTTAAACATGATTTACATTTTCCACCACGGACTGTGCCAAAGATAAGCAGACACTTTAATTTCTATTTAGATGGCAAAAATAAGAAACTTTCTTTAACAGTTATTTAAAACTAGCATAACCAATGAACAAAAAAAAATTTAAGGGGCTTTTTGAAACTGAAATAGAATTTTTTGTGTCATATCAAAGGCTCTAAAAAACTAGCATAACACCCCTATATGCATCCTGGATGCAGATTGATGCACTTCAATGAAACCTGAGCATTTGGACTCACAGAGTGAAACTCGTTCTTCATTCAACCGCTCAAGGTTTAAGAAGTTTTGTTGAGTTGTTTTTATACAACAAATTAAGAATTGTTACTGCTACGATTATTTGTGAAATAAGCCTCCAATTAAAAGCAGCACTGTAATTGCCACCGGATCACTAATTGACTAGTTAGTTGGACGACTAGTCAACCATCTATCTATAGGATCTTCCTTAATTGTTTCACACTGTAGAATTTTAGGACTGAAATTTGAGCTCAGTTATGTAAAGGCCAGGCATAACCAGGATTAAAAATGGCCATAAGCAAGGATTTAAAAAGACACTAAGCCAGCGGTAAGCACAATGTGAAGAGCCCATTATTATATATTTGAACTTTATGAAACAAAAAAATAGTGAGCTTTGGATGATTTCTAGTGTCGAAGTATTTAGACATCACACATTCAGCCACTCTATATCTCTGTTTTGATTCACAAAAATGTCTTTCATTCCCTATTATTCCACCCGCTTAGAGCTCTACTTATAGACTTTGAATATAAAGAAAGAGCAAAGATCAAACCAATTTGGAATGAGTCAAAAAAATAAAAATGGGGATCTTTATCTCCGAGTGCTTGGTTAAATGAAAGCCATTCTTTGCCACTGAAAGCTCCAAGAAAGACAGAGCGAGTGAGATGAACAGAGACAAATGAAGAGAGAGAGATTAAGAGCGAGCGAACGAGAGGACGAAAAGCAAGCCCTGGTCCCAGCGGACTCTGATGGCAGAGAAGATGGGATCAAGCCTCACTAAATGAATTAGATAGCATGAGCGAGAGAGCAACTCATGAAATTTACTCAACTCCCCTAATGATGTTCCTGTCTGACTGAATAATGGAAGCACTTGGGAGAAAGACAGCGAGAGAGAATGGACGCAAAAGGAAACAGGAGGTGGGTGACAGGAAGAGTGCTTGTGATATTTATATTCTACAACAATTTAATGACGTTAGACTATTAGACACAGTTAGACACAAGGTAATAGTCTAGGTTTTCAGGTTCTCAACAATGATTATACAGTAGTCTTACTCTTATCCAGAGCCGTCCTTAAATTTGCAATCACCAACCCAATGAGTAGACTCGAGTCATCTAGAGGACTTTACTAGGCCACTCCTTAACGTTCCCAGCCTCACAACCCTAGTCTGATCTACAACTTCTCCACTTATCACAATCACCCTTTGCACCAAGATAATGGAAGATGAACTCTGGCAGAGGACATTACTGAAGCACACCCATTCATCCAACCAACAAATCAATCGTTGTAGCCATGCAGTGCGTCTTAATGGCCTGCTATCAGAGAATGGACTTACCGAGTTGATGCACGGTAGCTCCTTGTTGAGCAGCCAGGGCAAAGACAGCCTGCCCTCTCCTCTATAGCACGACTGAATCCTTTCCTTGATCTTCTCCTTTATTCTCGTCAGCGTGAACAGGCAGAGCGCCGACTCTTTTGGGGGTTTGGCCCGGTTCTTCTGACCTTGGGAGAAAACTGTAAACAATATGTCCTCTTGCTCGGACACTCCCAAGGAGTTTGCAAGATGCCTTCCAGGTTTGGCCAAGTAGGCATCCTGGATCAGTCGATACTCTACGCCATCTTTGGTGCATCCGATTGGGAACTCTACGTAGGAGTAGAACCTGGGATCATCGATACAAAGTCGGACGATCTTCGAGGTGAAAAACTGTTCCCCACTGGCATCAGGAGAAGTAAGTTGGGTATCCAGTTGCAAGGTCAAGTAGTAGACAAACTGTTCACTGCTAAAGCTGTATATGTAGTAGATGTCGAACGTCGGGAACTTGGACAGCGTATCCGAGGGGATCTTCAGCTGGGAGGAGACAAACTCGTCCTGGTGGACAAAGCTGAACATGTCAGCATCCTCCTCATTGGCCATCAACTTACGGCTCGAAAGAGTTGGGAAGTACTCTGATTTTCCATCGATGGGGGTTCCAATGAAAAGCTTGCTGATATGACCCTCAGAGATGATGACCCCAGACATGGTTCCCGACTCGCCGACGCTGGAGAGGTAGTGTTCCTTACGGTGGTGTGGCTCACCAAGCTTGAAAAGGTCATCCAGGCGCAGAAACTGACAGATGCCTTGCGAGGTGCTTCCACAAGCAATTAGTCGGTTTTGAGCATAGTCTATTAGCAGCAGCTTGTTCACATTACTATTTGGGGCAAGGTCATGGGGGCATAACTGTACACCTGGAGGTGGATAGCATTTCTCGTTGTCCACTACAGGACCCGTCATATGACTCCTCAACTTGGTCAAGTTGCTAGAAAGCTTGTAGATCCAGTTTACCGCGCCAACATACACATCCCCCGTCTTGTTATGGATGGCTAAATGCGTTAGACCCCAGTCAGAAGGCAAGAAGGACCTAAATGGCTCTGGGGATCCTTCAGAAAGGTGAGGGGATATGCAGACAGTCAGAAGCCCAAGGAGCACCACAGTCCTTGGGCTAATAAAGCATTGCGGCCCCTGCTGAGGCCACATATCTGCGCTGGCCCTCACAAGTGAAGGATATGGTGGCCCACGCTATGTCTTCAATAGGGGACTTTTAAACAAACTCAACAAACAAGGAAGGGAGGCAGCACAGGCTTTTTTGATTCAACGCTTCCTTGCCTTCTCAAAACAGTCATCCACTTCAGCATCCACCTCAATTCCTCGTCCGGGGCTCCTGCAGGGCAAAAAAAACACATTATGAGTGCAAATGGAACATATCCGATTCATTATGCATCATTTCTCAAAGTCAAACAGTGAGGAAAGAGAGTAAAGACAATATCTTTCATTTTGCCACAAATCATTTAGAATCGCGTGGTCAAATGAGGTGAACCTTGTCAACTTTTAATTACTGAGACTGATAGCTCTGGGGGTGAATATGGATTGGAGACGCACTGTATACAAACTCTTCACTAAGCAACACCGCAGCTGTAGAGTTGGTCTTGCTTCAATACGGGCATAAAACATCCATCATCACAAGTGTCTGACAGCAGCTTTGTATAGATGAAGTATGGAAGTACATAACAGTGCACCTTTAAAAGAGCCCTGAAAACAAGCAAGTCTAAAGTAAGTCTTTGAGGTCTGAAATGCTTGAAGTTGTTCCGAACTTTACAAGGGCAAGAAAATTATATTGTGCTGTTTCAAGTCAACTCGAAAGGATTTATACCTACATCTTGTCCTTTTCTAATTCACAGCTCTGAGAACACAGATTGCAGTGTAAAACCAGAAAGAATTCCACATCAATGCATTGTGACGATTCATTTTTATCTGTACACCATGATTATATGATCCAATACTCTGTTGGGAAGTAGTGACAGACCAGTTAGCTGTGAAAAAAATATGCAACACACCAATTATTAGTAGTAAATGGGCCATAAGATTAGACCAGCAGTATCTTGGTCATAAGTTTAGACCAGGGTTCCTCAAAACCAGCTATGGATGACCACTGCCCTAATCAAAGACACAAGCTAATCAAGGTCTTCAGAGTTACTTGAAAATTACAGCTAGGTGAGTTTGATCAGAGTCTGAGCTAACAGATTTGAGAACCCTGGTTTAGACATTGACATTTAAAGTCAACAGATCAACAAACCCAGGACTGATATCACACTTAAAGGGTTAGTTCACTCAAAAATTAGCCCATAAATGACTCCGGTCATGCGCAGCGCTGACCTCATACGTCATCCGTCCGGAACTGCTTCCAGTGTACAACAGTGAGCGCAAGCTACATTAAAGTGATTATTACGTTTTGAATATGGATATTTTTCTTACAAAAACACATTGATTCACTACAGAAGGCCTTTGTTCACCCCCCGGAGCCGTGAGAGACACCTAATCTATGGGCTAATTTTCATTTTTGGGTGAACTAACCCTTTAATAAAGATCCGGTTCGAACTCAAAATGGCATACATGAAACTTAACCCAAGGTTGCTCCAAAGAAGCTATACCTGTAGTTATTTTGGATAAAAGCACCTGATAAAAATTACTACAAACTTAATTGTTAGAAAAACAGATTGTGATTCTGCTGATGATGGAAAATAAATCCAAACAAACAAATCTGAGTTCACCTTCACCATTTCCACTGGGGGAAAAAATGGGAGACGGAACTGCAAAAACAGGAAAATCTCATCGACAGGAGAAAGCCGGAGGCAAGCGAAAACTGTGAAAGATAAAGGAAATAAAAAGGGGAGATAGAGCAGAGGGAAAATAGGAAGAATGTTTTCCTTTCTCTCTCCTTTTCTTTGCCCATTTCTTATCTCCATTGCTTTTTTCCTGTTCGGGTGATTGAGGGCCTTCTTATCTGTCCATCATTCCCCAAGGACGGGATGATGGGAAGTGGCGTCATTCCGCAGAGCTCCAGAAACATGCGCCAAAATGGACCGGAAAAGTGAAAGTATTCCTATGTCTATCAGCAGAGGACCAACCAACTAAAACGATTCCATTTCAGAGATGAGCTGCTATCGTATTTTATATAGAAATTGAGAATTATTCTGTTAATTTTCCAAACAAGTAGTAAAAAAACATATATATATGGAAATATATTCATGCATGTTATGCCATGGTAGTACCGTGGTATTCTTTGATGTACTACAGAAGTACATGAACCATTCAGTACCATGCCATTACCATCATTTTACTATGGTACTGCCACCACAGTAAGGCAAGTCATAAGTTATATTTCGTGTCTGTTGATTTACTATGTGTAATATTTGTGTGCAAGTGTGTGAAATACAGAATGAAAGAAAAACAGAAAGAGGTAGAAACCTGTACGAGATTCCTAAACCTCATTTCTCTTCATTTGAGCGGATCTGTCATGACAGAGTGGACTGTAAATATCAAACCAAAGTGCATCTGTGCATCCTCCTACAGCTATCTGGCAATGAAACGGTTAAAACGGTCAACACACAAGTAGCCTATCTGTAGCGAGATATGAGCAAGAATGAGAATGGAAACGAATGAATGTAGAAATATAAATATAAGAATGTCTCCCAAAACGCCTCAGAAAGCACTGACAACTGAGGAGAATTATCAGTCTCATCAAGAGATAAACGAAATTCTTGTCTAACATCCCTGAAGGCTTTCTTTCATCTTGTGTTCTCATCTTCCACTTTTAGATTCACCAATTTCCCTTGAGTACCTGCACTTCAGACGATCAGTAACTGCTTAAATGACACCAATCAATGCACCAAATGACTGAAACAGCCACTGAATATATATGTATATGCCCATGCAAGCTGCCGTTATCACAGATGTTGTTATTTGTGTCACGGATCTCAGTCTAGCTCAATATTATCACTGGCATCAGTTGTCAAATGAGCCGCTCGCACACGTTCTGCCTAAAAACCGCAGACAGACTATTGTGCAAACACATTACAGTCATAGAACCTTTATTTACGGACACATCTACCACAAGCTTTATTTATGCATAAGCATCCAAAAACTAATATACAGAAAACTTTTTAAACGTTAATTTAACATAAAAATTATATAATTAACAACTGCAGCATCATCATAGAAATGCAACGCAATGCAAAAACTTTCAAAAAACACTCTTCACGCTTTGGGCAAGAAAAGTTCCTGACAGGTTTCATGAGATTCTCCCTAGAAACCACCTCACACCAACGAAACAAGCGCTGGAGTACATTTCAGGATAAGGAGCATGAGACACAGTTAATATGGAAGTCAATTCATTCTCCATTTTTCCCACAGCTGCCCGAGGACACGTTACTCTGCGAGTCGTCTCACAGCCCCTCTGCTTTAGAAAACAGAGCATAAATTCACGTCCACACACTGCGGACAGACCTCTAAACCCGTCTCCTCAGATAATGGCGAGTGGTGGCAGGCGGCCGGCTGATTTATTACTTGTGGCATTATCAATTACAGCACGAGCCTCTCAGATGGAGCGCGAATACACACAGAATACACTCCGAAACAGACGTGTATAAAACACACACAAAAGCAATATAACTTATATAATCCAGTAGCCTCAGTTGGGAAAAAAACTGAGAAACTGTATGTTTAAAATGGCAAACTATGGCATACTTAAAAAAAAGAAAAAAAAAAGAAGAAAGTACAATTCGCATTCTCTGCACAACATGCATATCCAAATGATGTGCTACATCTGAAAACAACTGCACACAGATACTCAATCCCACAATGCAACGTGCTCGACAAGACTTTCCATACTGTAAAAATGCTTTTTTGAAGTTAAAACAAAGATTATTGGAGTACGTTTCACAAGAACTTACCATTTCAGTTTTTATGTGTCAAAATTCACATTTAATTCAATGCATTCTTTGCCGTTTGTTTGTAATTGTTTGTGAAATTTACTATCAGTTTCTGAGCAAAAAACGGTGTCTACACCAAATTTCTACTTTAATTTTTTTAATTGGAAAAGACATTTTTACACAAAGTTTATTAGAATTGAAATTGGAATTATTAATTTCCTTAAAATATTATATATTTAAATATTATAAGCAATAAATTTAAATATTATATATTTAAGCAAATTATAATATTTGAGTACTGATATTCAACTGACATGTTAAACTGGACAGGAAGGAAAACACGACGAGTGCACTGGAAGTGGCCAGTCAGCAATGACACGGTCATTTCACAGCTCATTATCACACTAATTAAACAGTAAATAAGCCCCAGACAAACGAACTGCATGCAAAACTGAACACACGTGTTTATCCAGCAGTACACACAGATGCGTCACTGAAGAAACAGTGTGTTTATATCCAGCCTGTGCATGGAGGGGTGTAAATATATCCTTGCACATGACAATCCAGCATTTATTATCTGTATGCATAACAGTTACACAATGTTTCCCCCAAAATGCCACAGTTACTACAGTAAAACAATAAATCAGAACATGAACTTCTTCAAACAATGTAGGCTAAGTAGCTTTAGAATCTTAAAGCATGTGACACAGTTTTACTGTAGTAATACCTGCAGTTAGCAGTATTTTGGCAGAAACAGAAGCAAGGCAGGGGAATAAACAGATGTTGTTTACACTCGACCCCTGTTTACCCTACTTTACCCCCCATGGAGGAGTAAAATCCCCCATTACACACCCTCATCTCCAGCCCTGCCCCCGTATGCAGCTCTAAGCTTCCTGAAACACGTTTTTAACCCACCGTTCACTCGTCTGCAAACATTAGACATCTACCACACATGTATAATAAAAATCACCATTCATATTCAACCAAACTATTATATGATCCCATCTGATCTAAATATCTTTGAATAAGACCGAAACCACCCAGCAACCACTCAGAACACACTAGCAACCAAACAAAACACTGTAGCAACAAAATAGCAACATTCTGTGTTTGCATGTAAAAATGCAAATGTAAAAATGTAACTATTAAAGTGAAATTAAATTGAGAGATGTTTGTGATTTCACTGATTTTCATTGAATTTACACTGGTTTCAGCCGCAAAAGCATGTTTTTCTACAATAAAGCAACAGCTTTTCTCAGCAACCTTGGCCCATTCATTTGTCCCATAAGGATTTATTTTAAAGTCTTGGTTAAAGAGTTATAAGCCATGAACTAAGTCAACCACAAGGTGAATCACAAATTTGCAAAAAAAAATTTGAAAATCGGACAAAATGGCAAAAATATAAAACTGTGAACTTAAAGGCTTTAATGAGTAAAAGAACTACAATCCCATG